TTTTCAGCGCCTTTTGGGCCTTTGGCGCTTCTTTGGTTTTCGGCGCTCCTTTGGTTTTCGGGGCCCATGTGGTCTTCGGTGCTCCTTTGCTTTTCGGCGCCCTTTTTGGTTTTCTGCGCACCTCTTGGTTTTCGGCGCCTCGTTGGTTTTCGACGCCCTCTTGGGTTCCTGCGCCGCTTTGGTTTTCGGCGCCCTTTTGATTTTCAGCGCCCTTTCAGTTTTCGGCGCCGTTTTGATTTGCGGCGCTCTCTGGTTTTCGGCGCCCCTTTTCGGCGCCCTTTTGGTTTTCAGCGCCTTTTGGGCCTTTGGCGCCTCTTTGGTTTTCGGCGCTCCTTTGGTCTTCGGCGCTCCTTTGGTTTTTGGGGCTCATGTGGTCTTCGACGCTCCTTTGCTTTTCGGCACCCTTTTTGGTTTTCTGGTCACCTCTTGGTTTTCGGCGCATCGTTGGTTTCCGACGCCCTCTTGGGTTTCGGCGCTCTCTGGTTTTCGAAACCCTTTTGGTTTTCGGCGCCATTTTAGTTTTCGGCGCCGTTTTGATTTGCGGCGCTCTTTGGTCTTCGGCGCCCCTTCGGTCTTGGGCGCCCTTCGGCTTTTCGCGCGACTTTCGTTTTTGGCGCCATTTTGGTTTTCGACGCCCTTCTGGTTATCTGCGCGGTTTTGGTTTTTGGCGCCTTTTTGGCTTTCGGCGCATCGTTGTTTTTCGGTCTCTTTGGTTTTCGGCGCCTTTTTGGTCTTCGGCGCCCTTTTGCTTTTCGGTGCTCTTTCGGTTTGCGGCTCTCCTTAGGTTTTCGGCTCCCTTTTGGTTTTCGGCGCCCTTTTGGTTTTCGGCGCCCTTTTGGTTTTCGGCGCTCCTTTGGGTCCCGGCGCCCCTTTGGTTTACGGTGCAATTTTTGGTTTCCGGCGCCGTTTTGGTTTTCGGTGCCTTTTCGGTTTTCGGCGTTTCTGTGGTTTTCGGCGCCCTCTAGTTTTCGCACCCTTTTGGTTTTCGGCGCCGTTTTGGCTTTCGGCGCATCGTTGGTTTTCGGTTTCTTTTGGTCTTCGGCGTTCCTTCCTTTAGCCATGCGTGGGGGGGCATCCAAGCCTCCCCCTCCATTCGCCCAAAAAGGGGGGAGGGAGGTGGGTCTTCCGGCAGGGGGGGATCCAAATGAGGGGGGAGGTAGGCAGCTGAGGCCCCCCCCCTCCTTTGGAAAGGAAGGGGGGGCAGCTTTCGGAGCGCGAGAGGGGGGATGGGGGGAGGAGCTCCCGAGGGGCAGAAAATTAAGGAGGGTGGAATGGGAGGCTTCCGGCAGGGGAGGTCCAAGGGTGTGTGCGTGTGTGTGCGTGTGTGTGTATATATCTATATAAAAAAAAGCTTCCCCCCCTTTGTAGCTAAGACCCCCTCCTTGGACAGGAAGGGGGGGGGCAGCATCCGAGGGGCGGAACAAAAAAGGAGGGGGGTGCTGCTGGCAGGGGAGGCCCAAGGGGGGGGCGGGGCTGTAGCTGAGGGGGGACCCCCCCTTTGGGAGGGTACCACGGGCGCGCTCTCTCCAAGTCAGTGTGCGCACATGAGCGGCGCAGACAGACGGGTTCGGCTGCGCCGACATTCGCGCGTGAGCTTCCCGCGTAAGGTCGCGCGCAGGCGACCTTGTCTCCGATGTAGCGTTCCGCGCAGGCTGCCCGCGTGAGCCACCGCGTAAGGTCGCCATGCCATCTCGCGTGAGACCCGCTGTTGATCATCGCTCACATGTCAAACCTCTGCCCCAGAGCGGATTCGAGCCTGGCGGGCCTGGGCCCGGTGATGCTTCAGGTGCCCGGCGTGCACGGAGGGCCGATCGACGAGCTACTCAAACGTTGCGCCAGCGCCATGAAACCGCAGGATCCTCGATCCCCCCTCCTCCTCTTCCTCCTCCCCCATCCTGCCTGCCTGCCGCCGTCACCGCCGAGGGTGTCGTCGCCGAAGGCGGATGACTCTTCTTTTCTAGGTCGTGACCGCCTGCGTTCGTCCCGCTCCGTTTCGGAATGCTGCCTCCTCCCTCCTTCCTCCCCCTCTAGTCCTCGATTTCCCGGTCCCCCGACCCCTCGATCCCCCGACCCCTCGATCCCTGGATCCCTCGATCCCTCGATCCCCTCCGAGCTTCGATCCATCGGACCCTCGATGCCTCTGGGCCCCTCGATTCCTGGGATCCTCGATTTCCCTCGATGTCCCTCGATTTCCCTCGATTTCCCTCGGCCGCTCGATGCCCCGACGCCCCCTCCGAGGTGGGGGGCCTCGGCGGCCCAGGGCCTCGCCGCCCAGCTCCGGCGCCGCTGCGCGGCCCTGGGGAAGGGTGGAGCCGCCCCAGACCTGGCGGCGCGCGCGGGGGGGGGGGGGCGCAGGGGTTCGACGGCGCGTGGCCGAAGCCCCTCCTCCTGCTCTTTCGAGGCTCCCCTCCTCCTCCCCCTCTTCCTCTCCTCCTGCTCTTCCTCCTCCTCCTCCTCCTCCTCCTCTCCTCCTCCTCCTCCTCCTCCTACTCTTCCTCCTCCTCACTCCTACTCCTGCTCTTTTCCTCCGCCGTCTCTCCTCCTCACTCCTCTTCCATCCTCCTCCATGCTCTTCCTCCTTCTCCTCCTCCTCCTCCTCCTCCTCCTCCTCCTCCTCCTCCTCCCACTACTCTTCCTCCTCATCATCCTCCTCTTCCTCCTCCTCCTCCTCCTCCTCCTCCTCCCACTCTCCCTCCTCATCCTCCTTCTTCTCTGCCTCCTTCTCCATCCTGCTCCTCCTTCTTTTCCTGCTCCTCCTCCTCCTTTTCCTTTTTCTCCTCCTCCGCCTCCTCCTCCTCCTCCTCCTCGCCCACCAGTCGCGAACGGGAAACGTATCCGTGTCCACGGCCTCGTTGGCTGGGTATCCTTGGGCCTCGACGCTTCGTGGCTTCAGGGCGCGGAGAGCGCGCCTCGAGGATCGAGGCCTCGTTGATCGAGGCTTCGAGGCTTCGAGGCTCAGGGATCGAGGCTTCGAGGCTTCGAGGATCGACGCCTCGAGAATCGAAGCTTGCTCGAGGATCGAGGCTGGACTTTGTATACGCGTCCACCCGCTGTAAACGTTTCGTTGTGTGCTTCGTCTTTTTGTTCCTGGGTAGCGCTAGGAACCGTTCGCCGATCTAATTATGGGCGATGCATCGCCACTTCCATCTCGAGATTTCCTCCCTGAGCCAGTCAACCCTTAACACGTCCTCTCGACACGGGGGGGTGGGCGTGGGGTTCGAACCCCATCAGACGAGGAATTGACGCAGATAACCATGGCCTCGTTTTTGCCTCCTAGGGCCTCCTTGGAGGCCCTCGTCGCCACGCTGGGTCGGTGCTGAAAATCTGGTCTGAACGCGCTCCAGGGGAGGTCTGGGGAGTAGCGCAATCGGTATCTTGCAGTCTCCCCAGAGACCCAGGGTCTGAGGCAGGAATGCAATTCATAACCACCGCCTGTGGGATCGATCTTCAGGGACCTGGGCAGGCGGTGGAGAGGGAGATCCGATGGCCTTCGGCCCATCCCGCCACCGTGCCTGGGTTGTGGGTCATAGGCCTCGAGGTTGTTCGTTGGGGTGTTGAGGCCTCTTGGAGGCCTCCTGAGGCCTTGGGGGCTTCTCGGGGCCACGGGCTCGAAATGTCTCTTGTGGGACCCTGTCTTGGCCCCCTGTGGGAGCTGTTTTGGTGCATCGTGGGCCGTCCTGGGGGCCGGGCCCTCTTGGGCTGTCTTGGGGCCGTCTTGGGGGCCTCTTGGGCCGTTTTGGGGTGATCTTGGGGGCCTTTGTGGCCGTCTTGGAGCGTCAGGAAGCCGACAACGCGAGCACGTATCCCAAAAAACTTCACCAATTAATAGAAAAGCTATGATTTGTCCATCTTGGGGCCCTCTTGGGAGGCCTCGCCCTCGCTGCGTTTCGGCTTCGGGCCCTCGTCGGTCCCCGTCGCCGCGCGACCTTGCCCGGGAGCCAGCGCCCGGCTCCTCACCCACGTCCAGAGCAACCAAAGCCCCACAGGGGGTCCAGGGACCCCGTTGCAGCAGCGGGCTTGGGCCGGGGCCGGTGCGACGGGAGCGGCATCCCTGACGCGAGGACCTAATGCACAGGAACGCCCTCCGACACCGACCCCCCCCCGTCTGACTGTGATTCAGCAGTGCGCGCGACCTCGGCAAGGACGCAAGGCCCGAAGACTTGCTTCGTGATTGTAGCCCTTGTCCTGGCGGTCGCCGAGAGGCGCTCGCCGCGAGAGAGCGAAACAATGACAGCAACATAACAACTCGGAGGTCCGGGCAGATTTCTTGGATCGGCGCTGGACCCCCCTGGTGGCGCCTCTAGACGCAGCCACCTCCCCCCCCTGGGAATGTTTACTTTGCATTCCTCCCACGCAGCACACCCTCGCACTCCCGGGTTGGACATTTGCCCGTCGTCCCCCTGCCTTCCGTGGAGGCCGCCCACTTCGCCTAACCCCCTTGTGTGCGCGCCGCCAAGAGACGTTGCGACAGGTCGCATTGCCCAGCTGGACTTCCTGATCGATAAAGGTTTTCTGTCGCCGCCCAACTGCCTGCGTTTGGTCGTGGCACACCCAGGGAGGCTGACGTCCTACGACGTTCGCGAAGTGTTCGCCCGTGATGGGCTGCTCGTGGTCAACAAGCCTTTCAACCGGCTGCTGTACCCAAAGAAGCAGTTCCCGCGCGAGGTTGCGATCGTCGACGCGTTGAAGGCCAGGGAGGGCGGTCCTCTTCCACCCTTCCCATCATACCCCCTCCTCCCTCCTAATTTCTATGATCCGCGCCTGCTCTTGGATCAGTGACCACCGTCCCAATTAGTTGATACCGTTGGTGTCGTGCAGCGAGCCAGGTTCGTTGGGGCCTGCGCGATGCACACGTCCTGGCAACTGACTCCAGCCAGTCAGTGTTCGTACATCGTGCGCGTTGCGCTTTGGTCGCTTGGGCATCGGGGGCCGTCTGTGCCAGGCGGGTGTCGCGGCCCCAGAGTTTGCCTCTGCGCTGGGACGGCTCTGCGTTTTAGGGCAAGACTATTCAGGTCCTGGCGCTCAGCATCGTGCCAGCGGTTCTCATGCGCTGCGCACGCGTTCATGGGCGGGCTCGGTCCACTCTTGTTACGATCACTGTTTGTCCAGAGATCCTTCTGTAGTAAATCCTGGGAGCTTGGCACACCCTTCAAGTTCCGTCTTTAGCGCCGGGTACCGTCGATTAGCGTTTGGGAGTCGATGAGGTAGCGCCGATTTAGCGTCGGCTAGCGTCGATGAGCGTTTATTTAGCGTCGGCTAGCGTCGATTTAGCGTCGCTTAGCGTCGATTCGCAAGAGCCAACAAGATGGTATAGGAGGCTCCCATGAGTTGCCACGGAAGGATCCGCGCAGGCAGTTCTTCAGTTGATGAACAACCACGGGCAATGCGACCACGTCTGCTCTCGCAGGATCTTTGTCTCAGGGCGCTATGCGTGGTCATATGTTCAAAGAGTATTCGTTGACCAGTTGGGGGCGCCGCGTCGGCCGCCGCGGCCAGGGCCCGCTTCGAAGCTCAGTGCTGTGTGATATTTGGAAGCGCGCTTGTTTTGAGGTGGCTCTGTTATGTCACCTGAATCAATTTATCTTGGTCGTTCGATCAACAACTTGGTGTTACGTTGATTCGAAATCCGTTTTGTGGAAAGTGCTGTGCTTTTGACACGAGTCCACAACGTTGACATTATTGATTCACGCATCGGGCGCGTTTTGACGTGGAGGTTTTTGTCACTGTGGTTTTAGTCGCGGTCATTGGGAAGGCGCCCCCCTGGGAGGGAACATACAGCGACGGCGTTCCCTTGCGACGCCCTGGCCGGCCGACAACTGCAGGTCCGAGTTCAGAGTTCCGAGTTCCCCTTGGGAGCGGGCGGGGTGGAGCCCGCCGAGTGCGGCTTTTACAGTGCCAGTTTTAATGCATGCTCCGCGTGCGGATCATGTATTAAGACTGCAGGGATTTAGTATTAACACAACTATGAGTTCATGCATAAGTTTACTCATGCGTTAACCATGTAAATATTAAATGCATTAACCATGTATTAAAAACTGCCCTGTAGGGCGAGGGAGAAGCCGTCGGCGATGTGGCGCCTGCCGGGAGGCAGGGCCCCCCCCCGGTAGACGCGCTGGCCCGTGCTCGTTAGCACACGGGCTTGGTCGGACGTATTCCGGAGGTGGTTTTGCTGGAACTCCACACCCTTTGGGCATGTGGGGCGAAGTGCGGCCAGGGCGCCTCGCCCCTGCTCCAGTTCCCTGCTTGTCGCACAGGTGCGTTGCAGCGCGTGCTTCAGGCATTCACTGCGGTCCTTCTCCTCCTTGTCTGTTTTCGCGTGGGCTAGGTGGGGGCGGGACCGGCGCTTCCCGCAAGGCGGGTCTGCTGAGTGTGTCTGCTTTGCCTGGGGTGGTTATCTCCAGATGCAGATCGGGCCACTTCCAGTTGAATATCTTGACGACCTGTTCCCGGTGTGTGGTGATTTGCATGTGCGTGCGCGCATCTCTACCTATAGCACACTCTCTCTCTCTCTCTCTAGTTCGCTTTATCTCTCTCTCTCTCTTTCTCTTTCTTTTTTGTTCGTTTCTTATTTCTCTCTCTCTCGCTTTTTCTCTATATTGTTCTCTCTTTGTTTTTGTTGTTATCTCTCTCTCTCTCTCTTTCTCTCTCTTTCTCTCTCTCAGGTGACAAAGTTCAGATACTGGTCAATCGACGAATCGGATATACCCTCTCCGCCTTGTTGCCACCTGCCTGGCAGCAGCTCGTGCTCCGTCCTGTGCCTTGGAGGCGAGGTTCGAAAAGGATCGGCTGCTGCTCGATCTGCCCCTTGGCGCACGCGTTTCAGGGGATGGCCTAGCAGTGCCAGGCACGGACGCTTCCTTCTTTGCATGAACCACCTTCAGAAGGAAGAATTTACTGTCCCATCGCGAGCTCGGTGCTGTCAACACGTAGCCTTAATTTGGCACGCCTGCTTGGTGGAGTCACGCCTCGCATATCTTGTCTGCCCAGCTGTGACCTTCGCCCAAGCAGCAGCTTCTGCTCCTCCTCCTCCTCCTCCTCCTCCTCCTCCTCCTCCTCCTCCTCTTTGTCCTCTTTGTCCTCGTCCCGCTCCTTCTCCTCTTTCTCCTCCTCTTCTTCCTCCTCCTCTTCCTCCACCTCCTCCCCCCGTCGGCGTCAGCCTTGTCCGAAGCCTTGCGCAATCTGACTTCTCCTCCCGCACAAAATCTGAGGAGCTTGGGCAGCGGGTCCCTCGACAGGAGAAAGCGCGAGGGGGCTGATCTCTTGGACGAGGGCTAATGTGTGTTTGTTGATGTTTTGATGCAGGGCCAATGCGATGACTTCTTTAGTCTGTGTTTTTTGTTTTTCTCTCTCTCTCTCTCTGTCCCCTCTGTTGTGTGGAATATGTCAGGTTCGTGTAGGCACGGCGCGTCTCAAATTGTCGGCAACTGGTTCAGTGTGGCTCAACGCCGAGTGAGCCGTGTGTGTCGATCTGGGAGGGGCATCCGTTGCCCCTCCATGTCC